TTGTTCTCAGTTTTTAGATGGAGAAGCAGGTAAGGGACTTTCCAAGGACACATAGAGGAGGAGCTTCTTTAGGCTGACACTAGTCTCACTCCAAGCCAGAGCTTTTGAACACTATGCTCAACTGCCTTTCAGTTTTCAAGAAGCCCACTCAAGTCCAGTGGTGACACTCCAGCTTGGGCTAATTTAGGCTATATTTCACCATGAAGTCATTACAGAATTCTAATTTCCTCTCCCTATCTGATGCACAGCAAAACAGCAGAACTGGAAACCCTGACATAAGAGAGCATCTTTATTTCACATGTCAAATGACGACAGCAGATACTGTCAATGTCCCGACCAGATCCCTGAGGCCCTTTTGTAAGTTTTAGTATGTCCCCCGGTTTTGGTATGTGTTTGCTTGTAATGGTTTTCATCTGTGATGCCTCAGGCTGAAATTATTCTTGAGGAAATTTTGCCTGAGATCACAATTTCGTTTATCTTTTTGCCTTTCCCCATTCTTACCAGTTTCTCCTGGAAGCTACTACTAGATGAATGCCTTAGACATGAATCTCCTTCTCAAGATGCTTTCTGAGAAATTCAGCTTAAGACAGTGACTCACAGTAGACTCACACCCATCATCTCAGCATCCAGGAGGCGAAGGCAGACAGAGCTCTGTAAGCCTGAAGCCAGATTAGTCTACTATTGAGTTTCAGGTCAGCCAGGACTATATGGGACTGTCTCAAACCTAGGTTGTATTGGAGAACATCAATTCTTTTTTCAAGTGTACTGCCTATAGCTGTGTGTCTATTACCATAACAGAACTGAGTGTGAGAGATTGCAAAGCCTAAATTATTTACTCTCTGGCCATGTTTACAGACCCCTAACCTACAGTGACTTTTTTGTTTTTGTTTAAGATGGGGTTTCTCTGCATAGTCTTGACTGTCCTTGCCTTTGTAGACCAGGCTGGCCTCGAACTCACAGAGATCCACTTGCCTATGCCTCCCTGGGTGCTGGGATTACAGGTGTGCGCCACTGCCCTGGGTCCTACATGGTGCCTCTTAATACTTGTTACTCAGCTTTAGAAATTGAGTAAATAGCACGCTGCTCACATCTGTGGAGATGAAATGTAATATAGGTGACCCCCCAAATTCTGAGGACTGCGTTTAGATCTTGCAGATCTAAGCTTTCTGAAAACCTTAACTTCTACATTTCGACTTTTCATGCCTCCTAGCTAGAAAAAGGATACCGCCCAGTCAGGAAGATGTCAGGGTGGTGTCCTGACAGTCAGCTATGGAGACTGCTGACAACAATCCTGAAGCCAGGTCTGCTGGTGCCCACCTGCAAACCCAACTCTTGGGAGGTAGAGGTGGAGAGTGGCTGCAAATTCAGGGCCAGTATGTCCTAATTAATAAGCTCTCAGGCCAATCAGCCTAAATAAAGACCCTATTTCAACAAAAGAGAAAAAAAAAAAAAAAAAAACCTTAGAATCCATATTAGATTTCCCTGGAATTAGAATCTCAGAGTGAGGCCTGGCTTGCCAGTTAATTTTGAAAGGCACTACAGCTTGATAAACATAGTTCTGTGGTAAATCTGTAAGTGTAATCGTTTACAACCACAGAATTAAAGAAACTTTTTACTTCTAGTGGGGAGAAGTTATGGGGAAACTATAAGGAAACTCTGAAAACACATTGTTAGTATTTAGGCAGCCTGCTTCTGGGTTGCCTAGTGACCTATGATGTCATGTATAGCCGGCCAGGTAGGCACACCTGGCAGGCTGGCAGGCTGGCAGGCATGGCTCAGATGTGCAGAAGCTATACAAGGACCAGCCCACCACTTTGTCTCTTTCTTTTGCTCTTGTGCTTACTTGCTGTCTCCTGCTTTCTCCCCTTTCTCTGTCGGGGCACCCCTTCCCTCCCCCATCATGTCTCTCTCTCTCTCTCTCCTTCTCCCTCTCCCTCCAAACCTCTTTCATATAATAACTGTTGTGTGCATCATCATTTCATTGGTGCACTGGCATCTGTTGTGTGCATGGCATCCTTTTAAAATAAATACTAACATCTGGTGCCAAAACCCGGGAGGGCTCTTCTAGCAGTGTTTAGACACGCTAGGACCCCTCTTTCACATGCCCACCCACAACAAATCTTTCTCTGGCACCCGCATCTCCTGCTCCTTTCAGGATCACTTAACCTGTTTCTGCCCACTGCTGCGGCCACACACATCTGTCCCACTTCTGGCGGCTGCTTGGATGTGTATGAGGCCCACAACAGTTCAGTGGTAGAATTCTTGCCTGCCACACAGGAGGCCCGGGTTCGATTCCTGGCCAATGCACCGATGAAATGATGATGCACACAACAGATATTAAATGAAAGAGGTTTATTGGATGGAGATGGAGAAGAAGAGACATGATGGGGGAGGGGAGAGGGCACCCCTGCAGAGAAAGGGGAGAAAACAGGAGATGGCAAGAGAGCGCAAGAGCCAGAGAGAGAGGTAAGACGCAGGAGTCCATTTATAGCTTCTGGGCAACTGAGCCACACCTGCGGGAAGGGGGAGGGGAAGGGGAGGTGGGCAGGGAGAAGAGCCACACATGACATTCATAGGTTACTAGGCAACCCAGAAGCAGGCTACCTAAATACTAACACATATGAAGCTTTTTTTTTTTTGACCAGGTATTGGTCTAGGTATTTCACAACCTCATATAACCATTAAAAAAAAATAAAAATAATCTGATATGTAAGTTTTCATTTTCTTATTTACATTTTGTTTTGCTGAAACAGGGTCTCTCTATGTAACCCCCTAGCTGTACTGGAACTTGCTGCATAGACCAGGATGGTCTCTTGTCTTCCACTGCTAGGGTTAAAGGTGTGAGCCACCACACCTAGATAGATTTTTATTTTCTTCTTAAGGCCTGGAAATGGAGGCACGGAAATTTAGAGATTTTGTGCAAAATGGCAATTCCAGCTAAGACAAGTTTCTCCCATTAACTACCTGCTCCCGGAGTCCAAATTCTTAGCCAATAGGTAATATTTTCTAGTCCTGGACATGTTCTACTTCCCAAATTGAGTAGTGCAGACACACACATTATAGTATTTATATTTTACATATATACTGTTTGTGTAAGAGATACTCTTTTTATCTCTACCAAGTATTCCACTTAAATGTACACAAGCTTTAGAGGCAGGGGCAAGTGGATCTCTGTGAGTTCCAAGCCAACCTGTTCTACAAAGTGAGTTTCAGGCCAGCCAGGATTACGGTGAGACCGTCTCAAACAAAACAAAACAAAAGGTATACATGTATACTGAACAAAACGTTTAAAAACTACATTTGGAAAGCAACTCTACTCATTCAAACTTCTCTGAGTTTCCAGCAGCTGACAGTGGGAGAGAAACACCAACTGGCACAGCTAGACCTCTCAGAGATCCTGCTTTCCGTAAAAGCGTTTTCTTCACCTACCTTAGCTGCAATTCCCCATCAGACTCAGAGAGTGTTAGTCTATCCTATTAGTGTTTAGGACCAAGTTTCAGCTAGGGCTCAGAGGAGTAGTAAGTCCCTTTACCTGACAATGGCTCCGGGTGCCCACTGGTGCGAAAAGAAAACTAGGTGTTATGGTGGGAAGTGCACATGACTTACTCCAGAAAAGTTAGCAATCCCATTTCTAGACATGGAAACGGAAGCACACAATGGATTCATGACTTGTCCTGAGTTACACAGCCAATTCATGTTGGGACTTGAAGTAGGTCCACAGACATGAGCTTCCCCGCGTCCTAGGCTGGGACACCGAAGGACTGTCTTTTTCCAGAGTTTTTGATGATCTCTTATTTCTGTTTGCCCTGGCTACATACAGACGGATTCGGAAGGTACTGATCTTGGCTCCGAACTGGGGCGTCCTCGTATTGGAGAAAGCAGAAAGGAAGAAAGTGGATGAGGTCTGGCCGGCCACCCGCGGCTGGGACACTACCCACCTAGCACGAGGATACGGTCCTCAGGGCACAGCTCCGGCTCTAGGAGGGCACGGAAGGAAGCGAAGTCCCCAAACCACTCGTACGGTCCAGAGTCGGCCGCATCTTGGTAGCGCCGGTCCCAGTATTGGACTTGGCAGTACTGGAAGTTCCGCTCGGGCAGGTCCGGAGGGGACGCGGGAGTCCGAGGAGAGGCCATGCTCCGGGCGGCGCCGCAGCCCAGAGCAGGGCTCGGAAGCCCAATCGCCGAGGTAGGAAACGGGAGGCGGAGCCTGCGTCTCCGCCCTGCCCTGCAGTTGCTCCACGCGAACACGTGGAACTTCCGTCACCTTCTGAGCTCTGTTTTGAAAATCGTCCGGCTGGAAAGCTGAATTGCCCATATCAACTCGACCACGTTTTCTCCCGTCAGACTCTCCCAGGCTTATCGCTGCGTTCTCTCGTGCTCAGTTTCGACAACCCTTTCCATTGAGAAGCCTGGTTAATTAAAGATTGCCTTCTTCCCAAGATTTTTTGGAGGACCTTAAGGAAGGCGGGAAGGACGGTGAAAGGTTTCTCCTCTAACGTGAACACAATTACCCTCGACACAGGCCAAGTGGAAAGCTGGGCTTGGAGAACAGAGGCCAGACCTGTTGTTTTTCTGGACAAACAATCTGATATATTAGCGTTTATGTGCTCTCGATGGGACATACGCCGGGAAGTTTATGTATATTTTATATTACAATAGCGTGTAGTCCAACAGAGGAGATGGTTGCGTGCGTTCTAAGTCCCAGCTGTCTTAATCAGGGTTGTCTTATTCAGGTCCGCATATCCATGTTAGAAATATTTCTAAGCCATTGTATATAATAAATATCCAGTGGTATATAATAAATACCCAGTGGATCATCTTTAGCTAGAAACTCTGGTGCCCTAACCTCAATTGGAATCGATAGACTGCTGTGGAATAAACAAGGATTCTGGTTACTCGGATCAGCATTCAGTTTGCGAGGACGCCCAGGGCGAGCAGCGGAACCTAGTGTCTTGGGGTTGGGTTTCCCGGGTGGTGGGAACCACAAGAGTGGCGCACCATCAACATGGCTGCTAGGCTGCGGAAACGCGGCCCGCCGGGTTCTGTCGCCCAGCCGGGTTCTGTCGACCTACCTGCAGGACTCTGGAAACAGTGGCTACAGCGGGCCTGGCAAGAACTCCACCAACTGCTGCAGGAGCCACGCTACACACTGCTTGTGGCCTCCTGCCTCTGCCTAGCAGAGGTGGGCATCACCTTCTTGGTCATTCACAGGGTGGCATGTGAGTTCATTGAAGGGGAGAGACCTGGAGGGAGGGAGGAACCTCTGAAGGAAACTAGATTACAGAGCATTCATTCATCATTCAAACCCTATTCTCTCCCTGAGCCCCAAGCCCGCTTTCCAAGTCTGTTTCCCGTAAGGGAGGGAGGTGACGCTAGAGATTGCCCTCTGTAGGTAGTAACATCCAGCCTGTTAAAGCATAAGCAGCCAGGAGTAAGTTCTGGCCAGAATTAACGTACCATCGCTGATGTTTATACCCTTAGACAGTCACTTGCCCTCCCAGATCTGTTTTTTCGTGCATTTAATTCTTAGGTCTTGAAAATCCTTTTGAAGAATGGCCTTTTGTGACCATTTGAGTCCATTAGGTATTGGTGTCTTTTTTTTTTTCCCCCCAAACAAACAAAAAAACCGAAACAACAACAAAAACAACAGGTTTTACTCTGTAACCTCGATTGCCTTAGAACTTGCTGTGTAGACCAGGGTGGCTTCAAGCTCAGAGATCTGCCTGCTTCTGTCTCTTCTGCTTCTGTTGAGGTAGACACCACCACAACTGGCTTCATAAAGATCCCTGATTTTAAAATGAGGATGAGACACATTCTCACCGTTAACCTCTAGCCCCCTCACTCATGCACACATACATGCAGACACACCCACCTATATGTGCACCCACATATAGGCATGTGTACACACAGACAGAACAAACCCCTTTCCATTTAAGAACCTAGGAGGGACGTATATGACAAACAAGATGTCTGGGCTTGTGATACTACCCGAGGGACCCAGGAAGGAGAATAAATTTGTAGTAGATCATAAATTCAATTCTAGACATTGAGTTTGAGATACCTGGATTAATGGACCTAAAGAGAAGGCTTAGCAGATAGTGTTTACATTCAAGTGTGAGAACCAGAGTTAGGATCCCCATAAGTGCCAGGTAGACACAGTGGCCCACCTATAATCCCAGCGCTGGAGAAGCAGGACATGGGATCAGAGCAAACTGACTAGCTAGACTCTGTTATATGAGTAATGGAGGAAGACACCAAATGTCAATCCCTGGCCTCCTTCGTGTGTGTGTGTGTGTGTGTGTGTGTGTTTGCGCGCATGCAGTTAGATAAGGGATGGAGATGAAAGAAGCCCTGGGAATAAGATGGAACTCAGTGCTTTGGTGGTCTGAAAGCATGGGGGTTAGAGGTTGGCAAGTTCTGGGCTTGGAAGTAACTAGACCATGTTATTTTTATCTTCCAGACACAGAGATTGACTGGAAGGCCTACATGGCCCAGGTGGAGGGTTTCATCAGTGGCACATATGACTACACACAGCTGCGGGGTGACACCGGACCTCTTGTGTGAGTGAGGATAGGAGGTTTAAAGAGATTGTGAAGGGCTGGATGGGTACCAGGCTGCTTGTCCTGACCTAGGCTCCTGTTCCCTTTCATCTTCCAGCTACCCAGCTGGTTTTTTATACATCTTTATGGGGCTCTACTATGCTACTGGCCGTGGCACTGACATCCTCATGGCCCAGAACATCTTTGCTGTGCTCTACCTCATTACCTTGGTGCTTGTTTTCTTGATCTACCACCAGACCTCCAAGGTGAGTTTATGCTACAAGCACTGACTGGCCCTGGCCTGAAATGGGTGGTGGGGATGGCTCGGATTTGGGGAGCTGACCTTGATGCCCACCCTTTAGGTACCTCCCTTCGTCTTTTTCTTCATGTGTTGTGCCAGGAAGAGGTTGATACTTAGGAAAAGCAATGCCATAGCCACTGGGTCATTGAAGAGCCGCAGTACAAAGATGGAGTGGACACGGTAAGAGGCACAACACTGGGGCTGGGGCTGCTGCTGTTTCAGGTCAGTGCCTCTGCCTTCCATCCCCATGGGCATTTCCGTATCTCCCCAATGTTCTGCAGCAGAGAGTATAAAGAGTGGTGAGATCATGGTGTCACTCAGGGCCTCCATGAAAGTCTCTCTTTCCCCATGCTTTGTTCCCATCTCGTCCCGGGATGGCATCCGTTGTTGGAGTTGACCCTCTAACACTGTAAATATGTTATTCAGTATGTGTCCAGTTAGTCTGGACACAGGGACTAGGTGTTATTCCCTTCCTGCCAACCTCCTCCCATGATGTTTTATGATCCTCTAATGGTTCTGGATGAGGACCACATCCTGGTGCTTAATGACCTGGGGAGAGAAATCTGTGAGGAGGTGGGTGTGTCTTTGATGGGGCACACAGTCCTGGAGCTGACCTCTGCCTTTCCTGTTCTTTGTCCATTTCAGCCTGGCTGTGTCTGTGAAGATGAATGTGCTCCTCTTCGCCCCTGGGTTGCTGTTCCTTCTCCTTACTCAGTTTGGTTTCCGTGGTGCCCTCCCCAAGCTAGCCACCTGCGCTGCTCTTCAGGTGCCTCTTCATTCTCCCCTTACTGATGAGAAAGGACAACTTCCAGGCCTCCTTAACTCTCTTAGGGCTTTCTCAAGAATTTGGAGTTGATTCTGAGCTGGGCAGCCACTGTCTCTGGGCTTTAGGTCTCATGGCTTCTGAACTTGGCAGGCCTCTCAGAGGCTTCCTAAAGCTGCCTGCTTAAAACCTGGTAAATCACTGGGCGTGGTGGCACATCTTTAATCCCAGCACTTGGGAGACAGAGGCAGGAGGATCTCTGAGTTCAAGTCCAGCCTGGTCTACAGAGCCAGGCCAGCTAGGGCTACATAGGGAGACACTCTCTAAATACCTTCCCCCCCCTCACCCTTATACACACACCCCTGATGAATTCTTTAGGAAGGTGGTATGACACCCCCCATCCCCCCCACCCCCCATGTTACTGTGATGTCAGGTTCTGGCAGGGTTTGGGAGTGGGGAGGCGTTCCTACTACTCCTTGTGGAAATAAGGGAACTTCTGGGGCTTCCATATCACTGTACTCTCCTAAGTGATTACCCTGAAGGCTGGGGTGAGCCTTAGAAGCTTTGCTGGCTTCATGCCCATCCTCAGGTAATGCTGGGATTACCCTTCCTGCTGGAGAACCCCATTGGCTACCTATCCCGCTCCTTTGACCTTGGCCGACAGTTTCTTTTCCGATGGACAGTGAACTGGCGCTTCCTTCCTGAAACCATCTTCCTACATCGTGCCTTCCATTTGGCCCTGTTGGCTGCCCATCTTAGCCTCCTCTTGCTGTTTGCCCTCTGTAGGTGGCACAGGTAAAAACAAAAAACAAAAAACCGGGGGTTAATATCATGGGAAGATTCACGGAGGAATGGAGGGAAGAACTTCAGCCTTAGGTGCTACTTGGGGGACATGGTAAGTTGATGGTGGTTAATCTAGAATTTGGCACAGGGTAGTGGTGGCACATGCCTTTAATCCTGGCACTAGGGAGGCAGAAATAGGTGGATCTTTATGAATTTGAGGCCAGCCTGACCTACACAGTGAGTTCCAGGACAGCCAAGGCTACACAGAAACCCTGTCTCGAAAAATAAAAAGATTAAAAAAAAAAAAAAAAGGAAGAATTTGGTACACATTTAGGGTTTGATAAATGTCTGAGTGACTTCTCTTCAGAACAGGGGAAAGTATTCTGTCACTGCTGAAGGACCCTTCCAAAAGAAAAGTTCCACCTCAACCCCTCACACCAAACCATATCCTTTAAATCATGGAAAGATAAATGTGGCTCTCTCAAAGCGTAAATAGAATCTTAGTCTGTTGGTCTCAGGTGGCTGGCTAGCTTGGGAGGAGGCAGGAGCCCACGCATCTGTGCCCTGCAGCAAACACTGCACATTTCAGCACAGCTTCTTCCTAAGTCCACATATTGGGCCAGCCAGCATTATGGGTGCATGCACGCCTCTTGGTATTACCCCGAGATTTCCTACATCCTAACAAGTAAAATCCACCTGAGTTAAGAGGAATTAAGGCTAGTAAGTGAGAGATTCAAACTCCTTAGGCTGCACAGGCCCAAGCATTGCTGAGGACCAGATCCAGAGAAGCTAAGAAGCTTGTCCAAGGCTTACACGTGGGAATGGCAGAGCCACGGTAGAGTGCTTTCTCACCCCAGAACTTTTGCCCCTTTTTTTGAACCCTTATTCCCCAACCCCCATCCCTTCTATTCATGCCCAAAGCCTTAACAATAATATTACAGATTGTTTCTACCCTCTTCACCTCCAACTTCATTGGCATCTGTTTTAGCCGCTCCCTGCACTACCAGTTTTATGTCTGGTATTTCCACACACTGCCCTACCTCCTGTGGGCTATGCCTGTAAGCTGGCTCACACACCTGCGCAGGTACTGCCTGGGACTACCTGGGAGAGTGGGAGGAGGGGTTGGGCAGGTCTGGGGCATGAGAAGTCTTAAAAGCTGCAGACCTTGAAAAGGATAAAATCTGTTTCTCCTTTCCAGGTTGCTGGTGCTGGGCCTCATTGAGCTCTCCTGGAACACATACCCATCCACATCATTCAGCTCTGCTGCCCTGCACATATGCCATGCTGTCATCCTGCTGCAGCTCTGGCTATCGCCTCAGGCTTTCCCTAAGAGGGTCAAGTCTAAAAGGAAAAGGCACTGAAATCCACCCCTTCCTTCTAGGACTCACTCAGGACAATGGGTGGAATGGACTGTTCTTAGAATAAACCTTGCCAAGTCTACCTTTGTGCAGCCTACGTAAAGATAGTGGTTGCTTGTGCCTAGGCCAAGCTATAAGGAGAATCTTCCCAACAGAAACAAACAAACTCATCAGGCAGTCATAGAGGCACTTTATTGCATAGGATTTGGGACTGTAGCTCTCTCCTCTTCCACCATCCTATAAGAGAGCTCAGAGCACATGGGAGGGAATGTGGAGTGGGAGAGAGAAGAGAGTACAGGCAGGCACTTTCTGTGGTGGCAAGAGTATTCTGGGGAGGGGAACGAAGCAGTGGAGGGCAGCACACACCAACTTATTCTTTCCCAGCACCAAGAGGCAGGCCCTGGGTGGCAGTGACTTTGTGTTGGGGGTTGCTAGCCAAAGCTGCAGGCAGCCTTATACATTTGCAGGGCTGTAACACAGCAAATGTAGCTGCAGATTCTGGTCCCAGTGTCGCAATAACAGAAAGAGCCCCCGGGCAGCAGCTTTCAGAGCAGTCAAATCAAGGCCATCGGGCAGGTGTTGGGCCCTCAGCCAACAGTCAGCTTTGGATGCTGTCAGCTCCCACTCTCCAAAGGCAGCTGCACAGCGGTGCTCCAGCCATGCCAGGGCAACGGCTGTGGCCCAAGTGCGGCCTCGAAGATCAGAGCTGCCCTGCCTTTCCATTCCGTCTGAGGCCTCAGTATCTGAGCCCCGTCCACTGTCTACCTGGCCTGGACCCTCAGAGCCTGAGCTGGGTGACTGGCTGCAGGAGGCTGTGGCACTGTCACCCTGGCCAATACCAGGGCCCAGAAGTGCCCAAGGAGATGAGGCTGAGGTGGGACTGAGGCTGGCACGGTGTGCCGCGAAGGGCGAGGCTCTACACAGCCGTTCTTGAGGAATGCACACAGCAGCACAGAAGGGCTCATCTAGGCGGAAGGAGCCTGGTGCCTCTTGCAGCCGCACCTGAGGAGAGAAGAGGTGGGGGGAGGGGGGATCTGAGACAGAGCTCTGGCTCTAATGGTGCTACCCTCCACCTCCCCAGTCCTCACCAAAGGCAGGTAGTCATGGTTGCTGCCGTCGCTGTTGCCCTCACTTGTCTGGCCCTTATTGGAGCTGCAGAGTCTTCGATGACGACCCAGGCTGAGCCTGGAAGAGGCTGGAGGCTGATGGGGCAAGCCATGATGACCTCCAGTAGGAGATAGGGGCTCCCCCAATGCTGACTTGGAGTTGTCATTTAGGTTCGGGTCCCAGGCACCTGCAGAAGAGCCTCCCTGATGTCCTACAGTAGGGTCACCCAGTGCCAGCAAGTGGTCTAAAGCTCATGTGTGCCCAAGCCACTGCCTTTGAGCCATACCTTTAGAGTGGAGTGCTGTGGGCAGAGGAGCAGCAGCCAGATGGTCTTGAGAGGCAGATGTGCCTGAGAGCTCAGCTGGATCTGCAGGAGCATTTCAGTCAGTCCCACCGGGTAGCCAGGGAGATGGGTCACACCGTAGAGGTCAGCAGGGAAGGCACGTACCTGAACTCCACACCTGCAGGGCTCCGGGCAAGACCTCCCTGGTGGTAGCATCTACAGCAACAGGGCAGGTAAAGCAGGATGGGGCGGAGCTCACCTTGCTTGTCTGAATGGCTCGGAGCCAGGCCCTTCTGACTCGGCCTGTGAATCAAGCAGCAGCATGCTCAACTCCCACCATCTATATAGAAAGCTGCATTAAAACAAAACAAAACGAAACACTGGAAAGCCAAACATGGTGGCTTTAATCCCAGTACTCAGGCGGCCAAGGCAGACCACTATCTGTGAGTTCTAGGCCAGCCAGGGCTACATGGAGATGACCTGTCTCAAGCACAACTAGAATGTCCCCACAGCTTCTCTGTTCCCTTTGAACACACTGTCTTTGGTCCAGAACCAGCTCTTCCCAACTTTGAACCCACAACCCAGGACCCCTAGTAACCCAGAAACTTGGTAGTCTGGAGTGGTCCTCCTGCCTCTGCCTCCAGTGTTGAGACTACAGGTGTGTACCACGACACCCACACCCAGCTTTTATTCTGTTGTGTTTTTTGGTATGATTCAAATGTACGGAGGAGGTTGGGCACAGACAAGCTTTCCAAGGGTACTGGATGACCCCACCACAGGATTTGAGGAATGCACTTTGTTTCTGACAAGGTCTTACTATGCAACCTAGGTTGGCCCAGAACTCCTTCCTGCCTTAGCCTAGCAACTGCTAGAGTTCCAGGCGTGTGTCACCGTGGTCAGCAACATGGACACTGTCCACCTCTCACACTACCCGGAACTTTCTGCAGGCATGAACATGTTCTGTCTGCCACTTGTGACTGTTGGGTGCTTACAGTGTGGTGAGGACTGAGGTTCTAACTCTGATTTTAATGGTCCCTTGAGTGGAAGATTTTCCATGCTACAGGCGGTTTATTATTACAAGATCGTGTTGCCTTCCATTTTGGCTGCTAGGAAGCTTCCCCATTTTGGGTCCTATGCTTGCAAGAGTATATAACCTAATATTGTGTATCTTGTCATATACCTTTATGTTTCATTTATTTTTAACACTGTTATTTTTAACACTGTTATTTTATGTGTCGGGTGTTTTGCCTGCATGTATGTCTTTGCACTACATACATGCCTGATTCCCACAGAGGCCAGAAGAGAATGTTGGATTTCCTGGAATTGGAGTTACAGATGATTGGGAGCTACCATGTGCTGGGGATTGAAGACGGGTCGTCTGAAGAGCAGCCAGTACTCTTAACCACTGAGCCATCTCTCCAGCCGCACCCAGTTTCCTTCATTTTCCCTTTTTCTTATTACTCTGCTCAATATCTCACCCTGCCAATGTGTCGAGTCACCTCAAATCCTTTGTGACAAAGTGAGGAAGATAGTGATAACACATAGAGCTGTACTTTGGTTATTTTCTCTTCAAAGCTTTTGTGCCTGAGCTGTGACTGCTAGAAACTTACCCTGCTCAGCAGTGGTTTCAGCTCTTCCACGGAGAGCCAGCTGTTCATTGTCCCGGACCACAGAGGCTGCTGTCAGCCGGTGGAATGCCTGATCCCATGCAGCTTCTCTTATAGGGCTGGGAGCAGGCTGGGAGCCGTCCCCAGAACCCCAGAGTTCCTCCAGCCCAACACCCACCTCCCAGCACATTGGCTGTTCCCCATATAGGGCCCGGATCACCACGTGACAACGTGGAGCCTGGGGAGGCAGAGGCTCTGCTGGAGGAGCTGATTCCCCATTGGGTGGCACAGCCTTGAATAAAAAAGATGGCTCCATCAACATATCCCAGTCCAAGGGGGCTGGGGAGAGCAGGTTCCCTGGGGAGAGATGTCAGGGGTATAGGCAACATGGCGCACAGTTCTCCATTTCCCCACAGCCCTGGTATCAGAACCCCAGCTTCCCATCCCACCCTTACCTGAATCATCTAGGCCCTGACCCAGCTGTTGTCCTGGCTCAGGGCCCAAGCCATCTGGTATTGCATCTAGAGAAGGGTGCCGGGGTCTACCAGGGACTGGGTTTACCCGGCCTGAGGGAGATGAAAGACTTCGGCCAGCCAGAGCTGCTCTGTGCTGACGGCCCAGCACCTCAGCGCTCAAGGCTCCCACCTGTGTGAGAGACATGGAAGGTCAGTCATTGGTCAAGGAATGCAGTGTTTCTAGCCCCGTAGACTTGCAGCTACCCGTAATCCCTATGCCATCTAACTTTATTTCTCACTTCAGGTTGCTTCTTGACTCTATATCTTCATTGCCTTTTAACTTGCTTATTCTTCCTGACATAGCTTACTGTCCTAGCTTCCTCTAACAGTCACCCTGACTCCGAGCACCCATAATCCATCCCTGTGTGCATTACTTGTGATGTCATAGATACGGATTTACCCATCCATCTCTAGTAAACACTGCACATAGCAGGTGGTAAGTAAATCTTTGGATGAATGTGAGCTATATCTCACCTTGAATGGAGATGGTGGCGGTACAGGCAGGGGGCAGGAACGGGTACCTGCAGGTTCTACCCAGGCCAGGCTTCGGCAGCCCTGCTGAGAAGGGGGATCCAGGGGAAGGCCACCATTGGGGGAGCCAAGGCCTTGGGAGCCTGTGGACTCGCTGCTGCCGGTGGAACCTGGGCCTGGCTCAGGGCTGGCAGAGCAGTGGGTAAGCACATACTGCTCCCGGATGTATGAGGACTGGAAGATGCGACGCCATATAGCTGTGTCAGATGAGGGATTGGGTCCAGGGTCTGTGACTGGGTCCGTCAGAGCTTCCATACCTGCTGGAAAGCAGGAGAGTGGGCCCAGACCCTTCCCCCTGCCCTCTCCAACACAGCTACAAACATAAGCCAGGTACTCACTCTGCTCTGAGTCTCCTACAGCCCATGGGCATGACAGCTCTGCTGACACAGTGCCTGTCCCCAGGGGCTCTGCGGTATGTGTAGGCTCAGTGCCAGGGCTGGTAACAGATAATGCCTCCTCTGGAGATGGGAACACCGAACCACCCAAGCTCTGCCAACCAGGCTCTTGGCCCTGGGAAATGGTATTGAGGAAAGGGTATACTAAATTATAATGTCTTTTCCAGGTACATGTTTAAGATGGATCATAGCAAGTAAAAACTAATAATCCAGAAGGCCAGGAAGAAACAAGGGCCAGCAAAATAGCTCAGTGGGTAAAGGCACTTGCTGTACAAACCTGACCACTTATGTTTGACTCCTGGAACAACGTAACGGTAGAAAGACAGAACTGAAGTACAGAGTTATCCTCTGACTGCATACATGTACAGCCCCAGCTCTTGTAGAGGTCAGAGGATAACTTAGAGGAGTTGGTCCCCTCCTACCATGTGGGTCCTGGGGACTGATCTCAAGTCATCAACAGGTTCGGCAGCAAGTGCCTTAACACACTGAGCCATAGTTCTTTTAAAAGTTAAAAAAAAAAATAAAAAATAGGGGGCCTGGAGAGATGGCTCAGAGGTTCAGAGCACTAGCTGCTCTTCCAGAGGCCCTGAGTTCAATTCCCAGAAACCACATGGTGCTTCACATGTGTCTAAAAATAAAATCTG